TTGGGGTGGAGACAGTTGAAGTGTTTTTCTTTTCATTTCTTTTTTTTCCTTCTTCTTTCCTTGGTCTTATGGGCTGTCCATTACATGTGGGAGCTCTGATGTTATCTCACCAGGTGACTGGCTTTTGAGTAGTATTTGATTCCTTCTGTCCACAGGGCATGTTGCAATTGGGGCCTGAGTTAACTCACTGCCAGTTTGTGTAAGGTGGTCTGATCTGATGTTGTTTTGCCAGGTGACAGCTGCGTTTGCCCTATAGCTGCAATTCTGTCTGATCGGCTCCTCCCCTAGCAAGGTGGGGCAATTCAGTTTTGAGACCACCCTCAGTCCCAGGAGACCAGCTCAGGGATCCACCATCATCCCTGCTTTTGGATGTTGGCTTGTTACCCAACCCCACTCTCAGCCTTTGTTACTTTTCCCACCTTTGTTCACTGAGAGTTCAGATCCTTGCCTGACCCCCATTCTCCAGGGCAGGTTCAGTGTTCTACCCCATAGCTGGCTGTCAGTGTTAGATTACGATTTGCTGTTTATGCTTTTCAGTTTTGTTTTGGGGGGAGTTCAATCTGCTCAGTGGTTGAGCTGGTTATGTTCCCAGGGGTAGGGAGTGGAGTGGAGGGGGCAGATATGGGAGTCACATGTGGTGCATGTTGCTTGCTATGCAAGCAGTTTTGAAACCAGCCAGTGGGGAGAAATGGTATGCTGCTTGTCTCAAGGCAGACACTTCTTGGGACTGGGTTCAACACAGTGGGGCTTAGGGAGGCTTTCCATGGGTTAGGGGTCCAGGATGTTGCAGAGTTCAATACTGGTTGCTGCTCTGTCTTCTGCTTTCTGAAAGAAAAATTTTTAAAAAGGGAGAAACTGCCAGGAGGCTTTTTTCCCAGGACAGATACATCCTGTTGGCTGTGCCATGCCAGTATTTTCCTACCTGTTAGGTGCAATTATGAGGCTATTTTAAGGGTCAGTCCTTGAATTTTATGTGCACCTAATGTGTTGGTGGTTATTATTTTGGCTAGAAGAATCAGAATTATCTAAGTGTAGCTCACACATCTTGAGGTGGTTTCTGGAGTCATGGAGCTCAGGAATTCTGATTCCCTACCATAACTGCCATCTTGGGTCCTCTCTAAGTACTTAATAAGTATTTATTTCCTAATGATATAATGGGAATTTGAAATACACATAAATTAAAATAGGATACTTTCTATTTCATTATGAAATTTCCACAACTGCTTACTAATGTGATGTATACATCTTGGGTACTGCATAATCTCTCAAATCTTAGAATCATTTAGGATCACCTTCTGCTGTACACTGATTTTCACATGTAACTGTAGAAAACCCAGCAATGCAAAACCCTACCATTGTTAAAGGATAATAGCATGATATCTTATGAGCAACTTTGAGCTAGTATTTCACATGATGTCCAAAATATGGTGACTATCTCTGTTTCTCTTAAAAATTAATACCCTACAGTGCCCCTGTGAACTCACTGTGGTATTCCAGGGTAACTTGAGTGCAGTTTGAGATCTGTGAAACTATTGCCAGGGATATTAAAATTCTTTAGAAAACTATATTAGGTTTTTACATGCACAGTTCTAAATTGTATGGCATGTAAAGTTTGTAGGATTTCAGAAAGGGTTGGAATAATTTAGAAAATCTTTGAAGAAAAGGTAATATTTAAGCTTAGTTTTGAAAAACAATGTCTAGTTTTGTGTCTGAGAGAATGATAATCTACATGCATGTTTTTTTTCAGTAAATTCTTAGAAATAATTATTTTATAGTCTACAATGCATCCTTTCTGTTCTTTTGTTGTTGTTGGTGTTGTTATCATTATTATTATTATTTGAAACAGGGTCTGACTATGTAGCCCAGGCTGGCCTGGGAGTCATGATCCTCCTGCCTCAGCCTCCCAAGTGATGGGATTACAGGCAAACATCACCATGTCTATCTTCTTGTGTTACCTTATGAACTTACTGTATTTATATTTTCACTTCCATTGTACTACCACAACTTCTCTTCATATGATTGGTTAGTAATGGCATCCATATTGCTAGACAGATGATGACTTCTCAGTCCTCATTCACTTGATTAATCAGCAGTATCTGTCTCAGTTGAGAACTATCTTTTTATTTTATTTTTTTATTAAGACCTACCTTTCTCTTTGCTACTTGGCTTCCTGCTTACCACACTTGACTATTTTCTTTCTATCTCCTGTGCTTTTTCAGTTCTTCTTGTTTCTTTTTTATGGACTCAGTCTTTAAATTTGGTAGTGCCCAAGGGCTCAATTCTTTTGCCTCTTATATTTTTGCTAACTAGTTCTACAGTATCGTGCCTTTAACAATTTCTATATTCTGATGCATCTGTAATATAAGATTTTGATTTAACATTTTCCAAGCTCAGTTTTCCCATGTGACAAACCTTCTTTAATTTTCCTCCATGGAAAATCCATTCTTGAAATTATTTAAGCCTATAGTTCTGGTGATGCTTTTGATTCTTTTCTTTCTTTCAAGCCCTATCTCCAGTTTGTCAGCAAACACTCATTTCTACCATTAGAATCAATTTATTCCTTCTGTTGCCACCACTTTTGTTTGAGCCATCACCTTCTATTTCCAGAATTATTTCATTTGCTTCCAAACTGGCTTCATTGAGTGTGTATTTGTCTCTGAATGATTTATTCTCAATACAACAGCTACAGTCACTCTATTAAGAGATAAGCCAGATCAAACTATTCAGTAATTTCCCATCGCAATCATAATAAAATCTGTTAATACTCATGTATTGGTTATGAGTAATCATAAAACTTAGTAGCTAAAGAAACATTAATTAATTTTTGCTCATATGTCTCTAGGTTAGCTGTCCAGTCTTGGCTGGTTGGATCCTACTTTTTTTTTTCTTTATTGAGACAGGGGGCATCCAGCTCACAATACTCCTGATTTAGCCTCTCTAGTGCTGGGAATGCAGGTGTGTGCCACCATACCCAGCTAGATCTTACTTTTCATTTACTTGGCCCAGTTACATAATCAAAAGCACTGATCCCAGTTCTGAGTCTAAGTTGTAAGAGACCTCATATTTTTCCAATTGCTCTTTTATGCTTTTCCCATTTCTGAGAGAAGAATGCTGCTTACTTAGATAACTAGTCTTCAGAAAAAGATGCTTCTACAAATGCAGCTGGGATACTTAGTTGGGACTATGCTAAATCAGATTTCAAGCCAACCTGCACAGGCATGAGTTCAGTCAATATCAGCAGAGCCATCTAACTATATATAATAGACCAAAGAAAGTCAAAGGGTGAGAAAGCACATACTATCTATAATGACACCATGGTGAAGACACAGATCAGGAGCCCTGAAAAATTCAGGTCCGCAATACAGACTATTCAATCCTACATTGATTTTCCCACCTTAGACCTTGGACTCCTTTTCCTACTTCTCTTATTCCTGTCTACTTTGCTCCTGCCATTCAGCTCGCTTCCTGTTCTGGAACATAACAGGCCCCACTCCTGTCTTTGCTACTTTGCATTTATTTTCTCCTCTGTTTAGAATGCTGTTACTCTAGAAATCTATACTGCTGCTTACTAGTTTTTCCTCAGACCTTCATTTAGAAGTCACTTTGGTGAGGTCTACATTGATCACCAAATAAGAAATTTATAACTTTTTACTCAAAACTCCATGTCCTTTTACTACTTTATTTTTTCTTCCATGGGAATTATCATGTAATTTATCTTATATTTCCCATATTATCTGTCTTCAGAACGTGTGCTTTCTGAGGGCAAGACTCTGTAGAAGTTTTGTTTTTTGTTTCTTGGTTTTGGCAGTACTGGGGTTTGAACTCAGAGCTTCACACTTGCTAGGCAGACACTCTTACCACTTGAGCCCCTCCACCAACTCTGTGGAAGTTTTGTTCATTGTTGCATTCTTACTGCACAGTATAGTAGCTGTACAGCAAATACTTGCTGAATGGACAAATGCATGAATGAACTGGAAAAGAAGAATTAATTAGAGTCAGCAGAACTAAATTTTATATTTAGTGAATATATCACTTCTTGGAATTTCATATTTTCTTTCCATATGTCTGGTTTTTGTCTCTTCCAAAAGAACATTAAGATTTCTTATAACTCTAACATTTTCTATGTGTATATTTAACATACAACTGATATATAAAGGTTTAATAATAGAATAGGTATCACTTTTTTGGTAAATACCAGTCTTTTTCACTTGTGAAATTAAAAAATTATCTTAATACTCAGTTAAAAAATTTGGTTCATAACTTGGCAGACAAATTCATAGGATCTGCAGTATAGAGTTGAGATGTCCAAAAGCTTTTCCTATTTCAGCATTTGGAAAAACTCAATAAATTCATAATTCTTCTATCTTTGAATTGCTGTGTTACCTTCATATTTTTGAAAGGTCATAGCATATTTAAAAATTTTTATTCATTTATCATTTTAAACACTCAGTCATTAAAGTAATTCAGATTTCAGGTTTTTGCCAGAAAAGAAGGAAAAAGCAAAAGATTGTTAGGGTTGTATAGACATTTACACTTTGACAAATTTTTATATAAATTGGGTAAGGAGGGAAGTAAGAATATAAGGAAAGCCTAACTTCCTTACTGTTAAACTTCTGGTATATCATCCTCTTTTATGCTTGCCTTTGAAGATCTATTATGGCACTTCTAACTTTCTATTCTTATTTTACTTATGTTTCTCCCTATATTTTCAGCCAAGTGTCTGTTAAAGAATAATAAGATAAATACATGAAGTTGTATGTTCCCTATAGAATTTCAATTTATTTTTAGATAATACTTGTGGAAACACAGATTGAAAGATTTGCTTTTTATGGTCAATATTCTTTGATAATTGAATTTGCACATATCTTACCCCAATATTATTATGACAACAGTATAAATCTCCATTTGGCATATGAGCTTTTGCAACTGCTTAAAAATATGTGAATGGTAGGGTAATGCATTATCACATTAGTTATCAGACTTTGTGTTTTCCTGTATAGGGCTGTCATCAGTGATCCAGGACAAGATTTAAACATTGGCAAAGAAGAAAGTGATCATATCCTTCCAGATTCAAAGATGGTGCCTCTTCGACTCAGGAAAAGAACACTACATGAAACAAAGTAAGAATATTTTAATTACATAAAATGAGGGTGTACTGTGTTATAAATGTGTTGTTAAAATGTGTTTCCATAGTTAGCTGGAAAGTTTTCCTGTTTTTTCTTGTTTCTATATAAAGAGAAGCAGACTTTTTGAGGGTTTAGATCCCAGTTCTGCCACCTTAAGATATTGGAAGCAATTCCTTATTCTACACTATTTGCCCTCCAGGTTTTATATTTATAATTTAGGGGAAAAGCTATAACCTTCAGGGATAATAGATTTGAGAATACATAATGTAGTAACTCAGGCATTTGTAACAAATACTGACTAAATCTAGTATGTTCAAAATTGGTGTTGCTTATATTTTTTACATTTTTTTTTGTAGCTTATAAAAATTTTGGGTTGGTGTTAGTCAATTTTCTGTTACTTGTGACAAAATACCTGAGATAATCAGCTTAATTAGGAAAAGGCTTATTTTGGCTCACAGTTTCAGAGGTTTCAGTCCATGGTCACTTGGCCCTGTTGCTTTGGGCTCAGTACATCGTAGTGGGAACACATGGTACAAGAGGCATGTTCAGTTCATGACAATCAGGAAACAAAGAGAGAAAGGAAGTGGCCAGGGTTCTGACTTTACCTTTAAGAGCATGCCCCCAATGTCTTTGCTTTTTCCACATGGGCCCCACCTTTCCAGTAGCACCATGGGTGGGTACAAAGCCTTTAACATGAGGGCCTTTGGGAGACATTTAAGATCTAACTATAGAAGTTGGTTTGGACTTTTGTAGTCCTCTGATATAGCTGCTTAAATTCCTCAGTGACTGGACTGACAGTTGACACATTGTTTCAGCTTTAATAGACACAGAAAATCTGCAGATACTTATAGCATCTCTTCCATATTTTCAGACTACTGTAAATATTTGTACTTTTGTATTTTATCTTTTGTCTCATTCTTTTTTTCCAAAAGTCTTTGATTCCATACATTTAAATATTTGAAGGGATAATATATTAGTTTCTTGTTGCTACTGCAACAAATATTCACAAATTTAGTATTTCAAACCAAAACAAATGTATTTTACAGTTCTAGAGGGGCCCAGTCTAAAATCAAGATGTTGACAAGGCTGCATTCCTTCCAGAAATTTCAGGGGAGAATCTATTTTGTTGTCTTCTGTAGCTTGTAGGGCTTGCCTTCATTCTTGGGTCATGCCCTCATTCTCCATCTTCAAAGTCAATGATGATTGACTAAGACTTTCTCCTGCCACATCATTTTGACATTCTTCCTGCTTTCCTCTTCTAACGACAGGCGCAATTGCATTGGACCTGCCTGGATAATCCTGATAATCTACCCATTTTAACACCCTCAATTTAATAACATATGCTATATCTCTTTTTACCATATATGCTTAATATAATCACATGTTTCAAGCACTTGGATATAGATACCTTTGGGGGACTGTCATTTATCTATCACATATCTAAAATTTTCCTTTTAAAATAAACATTTATTGAAATAAGACATACATGGTGATACTCACCAGTAATCGTAGCTACACAGGAGACATAGGTAGGATGAATGTGGCCTGTGGCTGGCTCTTCCAAGAAATAAGTAAAGCACAAAGGGGCTAGAAGTATAGCACAAGTGGTAGAGTGCCTGCCTAGTAAGCACAGAGCTTCGAGTTCAAGCCTCAATATCTTCTAAAAAAAATAAGACATACATTCACAAAATGCACAGATTTTAAATGTACAGTGTAGGAATTGGGAAAAACTTATGGGGCACCTAAGACCCAACATGGCACTTTGAATTTCATAGCGTAAATGTTTTCAAGAAGACTCTAAGCAAATTGATGCTATTACTTCAACTTATCATCATTAAAGAAAGTTCTGTTTACCATTGAGAAGCAGTAAAATGTAGTGGTTAAGAGATAGGTTTCTTTTTTTTTTTCTCCTAGCTCTGCCATTTACTTATCAAATGGCCTTGGAGAAGTTACTTAACCTATCTCTGACTCTGTAAAATTTATTTGTAAAATGGGAACAACAGTACTTACTACATAGTATTATTACAAGCATTAAATAAACCAATACACTCTAAAGTGTTTTAATAATGACTAGTGCCTAGGAAGTTCCCTATAAATGGTAGCTGTTTTCATTGCTGTTATTTTCTCAGCATTTAGAATTGTCCTAAGCACATAATGAGCATTGAATAAATGCATCAATACCAGTGGATAACACTGACTGAAGCTGAGAAAGCTTTTGTGACGACACTGCTTGTTCACAACTCTCATTTGGTTCTCAGGTTCTTGTTTCCTATCTCCAGCTTCTTTTTTGTAGAGACCTATGCTTTATGGAGGATAGCTTTTCAAGATCTCAATTACCCAAATACTTGGTTACTATTTATATGATTACTATTTCATTATTCTCATTATTCTTGAAGTTTTGTGGAAACAATATTACAAAATTATTTGGGAGGAGCAGTAATATATCATTGATTCCTCAGATCTCCTAAGACAGAGGATATTATTAGTTGTAGGGTGTCAAAGTGTGTGCATTTGAGTTTTTCTTCATATTTTTAAATAATTTTAGGGCTAGTGGACTTCATGAGATCATTCAGTGCCATCTGGAAACTGTAGAGATTAAATAACTGATAGACCTTTTCCAAGAATTGAACTTTATCCCACACTCTATCCCACTGTAATTTCAGTAAGGATTACTTCCAGCTACTCATAATTGAAAACCTAACTGGATAGTGGCTAAATGAGTCACGATTTTTTTTATATCTAACTAGCTGTTTGGAGGTAAGCAGTTGTTTGTTTTGATTCAGTGACTCAGTGATTTTGAGGCTCTAATCTGGCTTCCCTGGGTCTTTTTTGTTTTTCTGTTTTTATTTGCATATATTAGTTGTGTAAGGGGTTTCACTGTAACCTTTACATTCAGTTTACTTTACATTTCAGTTTACCTTGGTCAGATTCACCCCCTCTATCACTTTCCTTCATCCCTCCTCCCTACTTCTTAAAGCAATTTCACCAGGTTTCATTGTTTTATTTTCATACATGTATACAAAGTACATTAACCATCTTCAGCATCCTCTCCCTCTCCATTTACTTCCCTAGGTCTTAATGGCCTTTCTGACATGGTTGCCTCATAGCTATGGCATCTCCTGGTGTCATATACCTTTCATGTTCACAGGCATGGACTCTTCCCTTGCCACTGTCTCATCAGGACAAAAGAAAATCTTTCCGGGGAGATTTGGCAGAATTTCACTCTTTAGTTTGTCCTGATTTCAGAGGCTAAGGAAGCATGTTGGGAGGGAGACAAGGAGAAGAGAGTTACAAATGTCTTCTAACATACAGAAGTTACATACAGGTTTGTGCACACCTGTATGCAATCCCAGCACTGGGGAGGCTAAGGATTGAGAGTTCAAGGTCAGCGTTGGCTACACAGCATCACCCTGTCTCAGAAAACAACATTGCTTTCAGGCAGTCCTGTAACAGTGACAGTCACAAATGTGCTATCTCCACTCATTATTCACTTTTATAGCACTTTGATGCTATACTCTTTTTTTTTATTTTTATTATTTTTTTTCATTTTTCTTTTATTATTCATATGTGCATACAAGGATTGGTTCATTTCTCCCCACTGCCCCCACCCCCTCCCTTACCATCCACTCCACCCCCTCCCTCCCCCCCCAATACCCAGCAGAAACTATTTTGCCCTTATTTCTAATTTTGTTGTAGAGAGAGTATAAGCAATAATAGGAAGGAACAAGGATTTTGCTGGTTGAGATAAGGATAGCTATACAGGGCATTGACTCACATTGATTTCCTGTGCGTGGGTGTTACCTTCTAGGTTAATTCTTTTTGATCTAACCTTTTCTCTAGTACCTGTTCCCCTTTTCCTATATATGCTGCATCTGTGGAATATTTCTTCTGTGTCTGCTGTAATAACAACCTGGAAAAGTTTTGTATCTGTGTCTTATCTAATTTGTGTTATTTGAAAATATTACCACAATCCTTTTTGTACATTTGTCATTTATATCAAATACTTTAAAAATTATTGACAAAATATATTTTTGACAGGATAAGAACCAACTCTACATTAACTGAAAATGTACTTTCTCATAAAGTACAATTTGATGGTAGGATCCTATCAAGGTAATTGTGATTTTATCAAATTTTCAATTGTATGATTATAAAGATATACTCTCCTTTCCCATGGAAATAATAATTGAGATTGTATAAATTTGTCTCATTTAAGTGAAAAATGTGAATTTAGAATATATCTTTGTAGGTAATAACTATTAGTTACAGAAAACAAAAAGTATGAAGCCATAAGAAAAATATTTTAATTAGGAGTTATTTAAAGAGTGATCTTAAATGTCTTTTGAAAAGAAACTCAAGTAACTGTTAACAGATATGTTATTACTAGAGGTTTCAAAACTATTTAACAATTTACCTTTATGTAAGATGCTTAATTTAATTCAATTTTGGTAGCTTAAGTTAAAAGATTGATAGATGGAGCAATGACATGTAAGATGATTTTTAATATATATTATCTCAGTAATATACAGTATTACTTAATACAAAATGCTGCTTGATTTTTGTATTTCTGATAAAATGAATATTTTTAATTTATCTTACTTGTTCAGTGATTTTTAAACCTTTCTGTGACAATGAAAGATAATAAATGCATGTCTTTGAAGGGCTTCTTGCAACCTGAACATTTTTTAAGGTCTTCTACTTTATCTTAAAAGTCTATGTTGAATTAATAATCTACACTGTGACATATCCACATTCAGAGAAGTATGAGACAAAGTACTTTTTCCTTCATCCAAGTCTGACTTAATTTGACATTTCAGCAACCTGTGTTGTATTTATTACAGCTTTGCATAACCCTCACTTATTGCCACACACAGGATTTCTCTTAATTCCTTTTTGAGAAATTGTGCAATCGTGGCTTAGTATTTATTTTTAAAATCATTCTATTTGAAAACTTGTGGCATCATTCTGGTTTTCTAGAAATGGACGTGATGCCTGCAGAGAGCTGGTTGGGTTCTTCTTTGTGCATGACAAGTCCCTTACAATGTATGAATATCGACAATTTGGGAAAAATAGGTATGCTATAAAACATTGTTAGAACTCTTTAGAGGATTACTTCTGACAGAAACTGAATAACGTTACCTTTTATTTTCATTTAACTTCCAGAACAAGTGTGCTTCCTTTTATTCAAAAAAACATTTATAGTCATCAGTATGGACGAAGAAAAGGAAAACAATACCAACTTGGTGATTTTTATATCGTAAGTGAAGTGTGTATACGTGCAAACATTTACTGCCAGAGGTCCAATAATTTAGAGTCCCTGTGGGGTGAGGATCAGGACTTTTAGTCTCTAATATATTTCCTCACCTTTTTCCTGAGCAAGGACATTTGTTTGAATGGGCTAATGGGTGATGTTTCCCAAGAAGGTTTTGCCTTCCAGGCCCAAAACCCTTATGCTCTGAATCTAATCATAGCAATTATTACTCATACCTTACCCTCCCGATTCCACAATGTAGATTACACCCAAAAGCCTCATCTGTTGGTACTTTAAAAGACTCTACAAGGCCTAATTGTAGGATAAGTGGCTACCTCAATATCACTCAGAGCAATGTTCCACATAAAAGAGAAGCTGCATGGTTTGGTCCATGGAGAGACATTAGCCTCTCTAGCTATCACATATCCAATAGTGCATCCTTTTCATTTTCCCACCCTCAAAAGCTCCTCATGTGATGTGACGGAAGTGTTCTCTAGTAGGCATGGATCATGAATAATGCTACAATTTATATAATGCTCTGAATTTTTTTTTTTTTGGGTGGTGCTGGGATTGAGTCCAGGGCCTCATGCATGCTAAGCAAGTACTTAGATTTCAACCCCAGTGATCTGAAATTTTAAATCATTCAATTCACATCTCATGTTCAAAATGAAGTACTTTCCATAGAAATCACTTATGTAATAAATATGTATTCATATGCTAAACTCTGCAGATAGAACAATTAAAAACTTAGACTCATTCTGTGCTTTTGTGTCACAGTAAAATGGAAATTACAGTCAGATAGAATTAGCATCATAGGTCTAGATGGAAGAAACAATGATCCAGTTTTGTTGAACATCTAAGCTTGACTAGGAATTGGCTAAATGGAGACAGGAACAAAGATGAGGGTTGGGAAATGTTTCAAGATAGAGGAGACAGCTTGTGCAGAAGAAAAACCAAGAAAGCATATAGATTATTTGGAAAACTGAAAGAAGTTTAGTTTGGTTTGGATATAGAGTTCAAGGTGGGGGTTGGCATTAGATAAGTTGAGTTTATTGAAAGTAACATTATGTTAAAGAGTCATATGAAATATATCATGGAATCACTGAAGAAGATGTGTGTGGAATGGGGAGAGGTATCATGATCAGGTCTGTAATTTGAAAGATATCTCTGATTTCAGTGTATAGAATGGATTGAATGAATTATACTGATCGAGGAGAGAGGTTATGGCAACCTGAATGAAGCAAGTAGCTGTGGCTTCAAAGCTAATTAGAGAAGAAATCTTTAGAAAATACACTCAATAAGATGTGGTGACCAGTTAGGGAAGGAGTGAAGGGGAAGTAAAACTTGGATTAAAGACACATACCACTCAAACCTGCCTCTTGAGGTCTAGAGAAAATTAGTTCTGATGCCTGTTGTACAACTTGAAGAAAGCATGTTTGATGCCTATCCCATGACTAAAGCTACATCAGCTCTAAGTTCCTGTCTCCAGCAATTTAGTTGATGATTTGGTCTCACTGTCCACACTCTGTATTATTTTGAACAAGATTTGGAACTCTGTTTCTTTTTTTTTGATTTCCATGGAAGAAAAGAAGAAAGGAAGAAGAGAGGAAGAAAGAAATTGAAGGAAAGGTGGAAAGAAGAAGGAAGGAAAGAGGGAAGGAAGAAAGGAAAGAAGGAGAGAAAAGAAAGGAAGAAAGAAAGACATAAATAGCATGTGTGATTCTTTGTGTTTGTAGTAGACATTGCAAAGGGATATCCTGGGAGGTTTACATTATAGTAGTGTATGCAATTTACAGTTTATAATTGCAAATTCCTGGTCTCAAAACTAAGTCTCTTGAATATCTCCCAGGGTAAGTGCTCTCTGCTCCATTTTTTGACTTAGAATTTCTAGCCCCTTACCTACCCTCAGGCTTCCATTTCCTTATAGAGAAATTTAAGGCCATATGCTAATAGAGAGGAATTCTCCTCTGCCTTCCAAATGTTTCTGTGAAGTCCATCTTTTCATTTTTACATGTCTCATTAATCTTTTTCTAAATAGTCCTTAGATGTTCTAAACAGTGCCAGTTATTAAGATAATACTCACGGATGTGACACATATCCATAGGCACATAGCATGTAGTGTACCCACATATGTATTCACTCATACATGTGGAAATATAGCATGAGATATTCTGACACAGACTAGGCACGTGCTCCACCAATGAGCTATAGGCCTAGTGCCTGAATATAATACATATATATATATATATATTCCTTTGGAATAAGAAATCAAGAAAATTTTGAAAATCTGTTTATTTTTCTACAAGCTTTTAAGTTCTCATTTTGATAAATTATTGTGCTCATTTTCCTTAATATGTGAAAATGACCTGAAAGTAGTCTAGTAGCATAGAGAAATTTGATGGAGATAATCTAGTCTTCTTTTTCCTCAGTAATTTAACTTGATGTTCAATTACAAGTATCAATTACCTATTATTGGGGAGAGAAGTAGCCTTATACATTTTTTAAATTGCATATTGATTATTTTTCAATTGATTATGCTCATGTATATAATATACTTATATTTCTTTTTAGCACAGAAAAATATTAAAAGGTAGTAGGCCTCAAAACTTTCAGGTCAAATTCAAAATACCACTTGTATTTTAGTGGTTCTTCCTTGATTTATTTACAGTCTTAACTTCAGATGTTAACTTGACTTCCCCCAGGTTTGGTACATGAAGTCTTTAAAACTAATCAGTAGAAAGCTAATAGTGTGAAAACAGCAGGTAGCAGATTTCCAGTAAGTACTTCCCAACTTTTTTCTAGTTTTTGTTTTTATAGAAAATGAAAATATTTGTGCGGTACACTGAGGCAAAAAGGAAGCTACTTAAAGGCAGAAATTACTAGTAAAGGAGCTCTGCTGCCCCTAACTTCACCCAACTCATTCGCTTGACAGATTTGGAACTCACCTGCAACTTTAGCTGGGAAGCTCCATGCTACTGCCCTGCTTTCATAGTTGGCACATATTTTAGGGAATACTTTCATGACTGGTGTTGGGGAAATTGAATTTTAAACAAAATCTTCTGCCAACCCAGAAAACTTGCAGCAAATATAGTAAATAGTCTTTTTTTGAATATTTGCATGTATATGAGATATCATGGGGGAAGGGATCCAAGCCTAAACATGAAATTCACGGTTTTTTTGTGCCAGTACCATGGTATTTTTGTTACTATGGTTCTGTAGTATAATTTGATGTCTGATATTGTGATGCTACCATCTTTGCTGCTTTTACTCAGGATTGTTTTTTCTACTTGGGGTCTTTTATTCTTCCATATGAATTTTAAGATTGATTTTTCTATTTCTGCAAAGAACGACATTAGGATTTTGATGGGCATTGCATTTGAATCTGTAGATTGCTTTCAGTAGTGTAGCTATTTTCACAATATTAATTCTGCCAATTTATGAGCATGGGAGGTCTTTCCTTCTGTTGTCTTCTTCAATTTCTTTTTCTTTCTTTCCTGATGATACTGGGTTGAACTCAGGTCTTTGCATTTGCAAAGCATGCACACTACTACTTAAGCCATACTTCTAGTCCATTTTTCTCTGGTTGTTTTGGAGATGCGGATCTTGCAAACTGTTTGCCTGGGCTGGTCTTGAACTGTGATCCTCCCAGTCTCAGCCTCCCAAGTAGCTAGAATTACAGGCGTGAGCCACCAGTGCCTGGCAAAATTTTTAAAATTTATTTTAAAATTTTTTGGTGGTACTGGGGTTTGAACTCAGGGCTTCATACTTGCTAGGCAGGTGCTCTACCACTTGAGCCATGCCTCTAGTCCTCTTATCTTCAATTTCTAAGAAAATGATCTTATTATTGAATAAATATTAAACCAGAATATGTGCACATCACAGGAAGTCTGTTGAGAGACTTCTAAGCTAGAAATCTCTTTTATATAGCCAAAAATTTATGATCTATTGCATACCAGTAACTCACTCTCCATGAGAGCATTTGATAGCACCATTTGTCTGTCACACACAGTTCATCCTGGATTTGCCTGCTGATTGGGGGTGATCATTCATGTTAGTTAATTGACTTTATCTAGAGGAACAGCATACTTTCATATTTTTCCAATGGGAGGTGGTTTTGAACTTAAGCAAGGTGCCTAAGGAAATTAGGCTTGCTACCTTCTTACAGAAGCTGACAGGTAGGAGTGCTATTCCTCCTGATGTGTCCATTTCTCGGTGGTCCCCAGGACTTAGGATAAGACTTTTCTGGTCATAAAGCTGACATAGGCCTATCTAATTTAAAAAAAAATTACATTCATTTTGAAAGGGCGAGAAAGTATTTATATTACAATTTCAAATTTTATAAAATAATTGTCCTAAAAAAAAGGAAGAAAGAGAAATCTCTTCCCTTATGTTCAATAGGAGGAGTCAAGCTCTTATTTTTAATATAATATTTCTCCTTACACTGGTCACATGTATATAATAAGCAATTAGGAAATGAAAATAATAGTTTTCTATGTTTGGCTTATGTATTTTTGGTAGGAGTTTTGCCACTGAAACTTTGATGCTCTAAGTAGGTTAAATTAGGTTTGAAATTTATGTGATGTCTGTTATCAAAAGACCAGATGAAAGAGTGAGATAAATCTATCATAGTTCATCAATTTACAGTGCATCTTTTTGGGAACAATAGCTCTATTTCTGTGTTTATGATGTCATGCATTCAGTGGAACTAATTTGTGCATTTTTTTCTGATTATTATTAAAAAATCTGAGTTTTGTGTATTGCTGGCTTTTTTGTTCACATGACTTATCAAGAAGAAGATTGTTCTAATTGGTCAATTGGGAGATAAGTTCCTTTATTTTTATTTTTGTACTATTAGTGGGACCTGTGCTGTTTCTAAATATTTTCAAAATAAACTTTTTTTGCCAGTATTTAAATATGCCTTTGACAAATATGATCAAAAGCGAGTATTTTAAATCAGTGCTTATTGTATTTTACTTCTGTATACTTTCTAGCTTTAAATAATTCACTTGTTTGTTTCTTTAGGGTGCAACCTTGACATTTTTGAGCGCTAATCATCCCAGTCTTCCCAAAAGCATGAAAGAAAATATATTACTTAGGCTTCGAATCACAAATATTGACCAAATAGCTTTGGATTCTCTGAAGTAAGTAAAATATGCACTTGACATTGTGAAAATGCTATTTTTTATTATCTTAAAATGAGCTTCTATCATAAAGCATTTAGACTTTCATTAAGGTTCCTATTTTAAAGAACATAGCATGTATGTATACTTTTTATGTTGTCTTAAATACATTACAAATGTGGAGACAATTACAATCAATTAAAAAATTTTAAATGTCCCATTTTATGTTACCAATTTTCCATTGCCATAATATTTTTATTTTACCAAATGCTGCTAAATAATGTCTTTTTTTTTCTTGATAGTACTGTGGTTTGAACTCAGGACCTGTGCTCACTAGGCAGGCAGTCTATCACTTGAGTCATGCTTCCGGCCTTATTGCTTGAGTTATTTCTCAGACAGGGTCTTGTGCTTTTTTGTTGTTGTTTGGAACCACCTCAAATCGTGATCCACCCACTTCCACTTCCTCCCTAGCTGGCCCATTGTTGTTTTTTGACATAGGGTCTCACAAATTTTTGCTGGGTTGGCCTTTAACCTTGATCTTCCCATGTTTACTTCCTGCATAGCTAGGATTACAGGTGTGAAGCACACACCCAGCTCTTCAAATTAATAAGTTTTAAAAGATGAGCTATTAGTAAAATATTATAACAAGTTCTACACATTGGTAATATGATACATTAGGAATCATATCCTACATATGGGCCATAAGAAAATTCTTGTATTTCTAAAATGATTGCATTTGGGAGGGCTTTTAAAAATCAATGGTTTTACAGTTTATATTTTACAAGGCAAAACTGCATTTAAATTTAATAGTCTCCATTAAATATTTAAACAAACACTGAGACAGGTATAAACATGAATATGTCCACACATAGATCCTGGAACATTTAAGGATTTTGGGCTCCTAATCCTGGGAATCAGAATAGCAGGCAAAGATGGGACTCGCTTACACCCTAGCACTCTTCCACCTCTAAGGGTTGCTTTGAGTCTAGGGCAGGGAAAAGCTTGAGTTTCTGTACTCAAAATTGCAGCATAGAAGGGCTGGCAGATTGGCTCAAGCCATAAAGGGCACCTGCCTAGCAAGCATTAGGTCCTCAGTTCAAATCCCAGTGCTGCCAAAAAAAGATTGTAGAAAAGAATATATATATTTATCTATCACTGAGAACGTGACGATTACAGGCCTGCTTCTGTGGAACATGAGGAAGATATAATCTGTCAAGAAGCCAACGACAGACGGGTCTTCAAGGCTATTCAAGGTATGTGATGTGCTTTTACTCTCTTCTCAAGTAATAGTTTGAATTTTCAACCATTTTCGTTGTGTTTATGTAAAGTATTTTTGAGATACTTCTAAGTTTTAGACCTCTGGATTTATAGTTCCTATGTGTTTATTTTTTAAAATGTTAATATACACATATATTTATTTGTTAGGATATTTTTAGAATTTCTCCTAAGTTAGTAGTGTTATGTGACTTATGAACTTAAGAATTTTAGAACATACTAGATAACATGGGTTTACTCATAAACTAAATAAAATGCACAATTTATTTTTGTCATACTCTTGTCTTATGCACTAGATGGTGTTCTGAAGAGGTGTGTAGTGGGCTAGCATAAAATAAAAAGTGCAGGACTGGAATGTCTCCAGATCATGTTTGGACTCTTCCAATGAGTAGACATATGCCTGTGTAACCCCCACACCTCTTTCTTCATCTCTACAATGCAGGATAATAATACCTCTCTTACTAACTTTCCAAAGTTGTTAGAGATAATAAGTGAGATGTATGTAGGCTTTGTAAACTGAAACATTTTACAAATTTTGGTTATAAGAGTCCAGTCTTATAACCAGTGTGGCATATTAGGCTCTAATAAATAATTCCTTTATGGATCTCATAGTCTAGAAAGTAGGATAGTGTTAAACAAATAATGACAGAAATCAAATATACTTTTTGAATTTTGATGAATCCTGAGATATTATTTAAAGATAGGGCATTCACAGAAAGAAAGAAACAAACAGATTTGATGGATGTCTGAGATTGGTATTTGAACAAAAATCTATAAATTTGTCCCCCACTACACTTTTTTTTTGTCTTTTAGTACTGGGGATTGAATTTAGGACCTCCTGCTTGTTAGACAGGCACTTCCCCAGCCCATACTCAAACATTCTTGATGCCATTGTTTGTAGTTTTTTTTTAAATTCTATTGTGGTCAGTACAACTTTTGTCACTATTGAATCTAATGACATTTGTTCTTTTGTCTAATGCATTAAATGTAATAGCTGCATCATTAAAGTTGGCAATATTTTCTTAAATTAATATGGTACAAACTGCATCAAGTGAAATAATTGAGTGTAAGGACAATCTAGAGGCTATATAACCTCTTGAATTTATGAAAGGAAGGGTTACTTTAAATATCTAAGTATAGGATGGTACTTGGAAACATTGATGCTTTCTCACATAAACATTGCAATTTCAAGATTTCAAGCTATCTAAAAATTTCTGAACTGATATTTTTTTGAGTAATTTGCCTGACATCAATTTTGTAATTCAGTTAGGAACAACCAAGGAAAAGGAAAAACATTAAAAGAGGTGGTAATGGTTAGATAAAGAAGTCTAGATAATAGGAACTAAGATTTTATTTGTAACATTTAGGTTATTTTCTTGCTAATGAAGAGAAATAGTTTTCAGTATTTAAGATTTAACACTTTCACCACACAGTGGTGCTATAGTTCTGATCTATTTACATGTGATAGTGCATATAATCCCTTTATTGAAAACATTCTATTTTCCAGAGTCTTTTGTTATCATACACATGATTCAGTTGTATGATCACATCCCTTATTTCCATTATGTCAACCTTTATTTTCTTATAAGAGAGACAACTGCAGTTTGGTGCCTTTGTGCATAGAAACAATTGGTTTCCATCTCTCTTTTTGTTAAACAGATGTGCTGAGAGAAAACCTACATAAAAGAGGTGTTCGTATTTTGACTGGATTGGGAAAATACTTTCAGCAATTGGACAAGGAAGGAAATGGACTTTTAGACAAGGCAGATTTTCAACAAGCTATAAAAGTATTTCACTTAACAGTGTCTGAAAAGGTATGTAGCACAGAAAATTTTCTGTAGCAAATAATATGTTATTCTTCAGTGGCATTAGTCACTTTTCTACTGAAATTTTAGTAGCTTATTTGCCTCTGTCCTTACACTTGATTATCAGTGTTAGGCCATCAGGCAACAGGTCATGTTGATTTTTAAAATTTCAACATTCATCCTTTCATCTTTAGTTAAGAGATTAATAGCCTAATAGCCAGGCATTGTGCTAGTTCTGAAAAGATACACCTTCTACTCATGATTATAAAAGAATGTGTCAAATCGAGAATGTTTTTTTGAAAGTATGAGATGATACCTAATTCCAAACCCAGTGAGGAAGGAATGGGAAGACTATGGAAAGATTCCAAGAGGATACATCCAGGTTGAATTTTAAAAGAGGAGGAGGAATTAAGAAGACAAGGAAGGGGGAAGGGGGAAGAGAGTGGATCAGACAATGGATATCCATGAAAAGGAGGAGCACATGCAGAGGACTCTTCTCCAGTCTGCGAGGGGTTCATCTTCCCATGTACTGTTACCTCTGCAAGGAAAACATCAAGTCCTGTCAGGGTAGGGACCAGGGTGCTTCTGTTTTCCTGCTCTTTCTGTAGCACTTCAAATAAACCCTGACATACAGCAAGTGCAAAATAAACAGAAAATGCATTCATTTGAGCGGGTAGATGTGTGGAAGGAAGGAAACAAGGAAAAATGGGAGGTAAGTATGGTACATTGAAGTCTTGACAGGGCATGCATTCTGAAAAGTTTGGATTGGATTCTAACAGTGCATGAATTTGATTCACATCAATGATTTCAGATGAAGGATTCTTTTGCACTGTTCCCTTTTGCTTCAAATGGTCTTATTACAAGACGTAGATTTTGTGGAAAGGACACTGAAAGTTGTACTTGTGAAACTTAGGCTCACATTGTCACCTTACTGCTTTTAACTACATGGTCTAGGATAAGACTTTTTAATTTTTCTGATTGACAGGCTCTGGCAGAGTAATTCTGAGATAACTGCCATTGTCAGAGTGGTTTGGAATCTCAAATGAGAAAACTGTAAGGGATTATGCCTTACCAACTGTAAAGCTGTGTGCCAACATGATTTTTCTCATCACTGTTGTGGCATACCTGCCTTTTTCCTGTTTAATGATGTTTAAGTTTCTGGGCCACTTAGCGGTACACACTAGAGATCATCCATCTTTACCTCTTCCTTTCATATATTAAAAAAGTAAAACAGTGATAGGGAATTAGTAAGCTTTGATGTCTTTTTTGACAATTATACAAGTAATCAATAGCTGATAGAGACGTAGAGCCCCAATAATCCGGCTCCACCTTTTCGTTTTCTTCATCACCATAGTAACTCCTTTTGGAGTGATTACTAAATGTTTATGATTAGATTTATAAATTAAACTATAATAATCATACATGACTTCTAACATAGGGATAACATATAAGAATATGAACTTTATTATTTTATTATTGAATTAAATTATTTTATTTTATTATTGAATTACATTAAATTAATTAATTATTTTGTGGGCTGAGAATCAAGCCTGGGACCTCATGCATTCTAGGCTAGTGTTCTAGCACTGCAATGTAGTGTTCTACATCTCCAATTCCTCACACATATTTTAAATAATTTTACTGCTTCATTTCCACTCATATCATTGGAAATTGCTCATATAATAGTAGCATATGCAAGGGTTTTGAGATATAAGAATCACCAACCTGGGTGTAATTGTGGAACTAGGAAGTGTTTGAGGGAATGCATAGCCACTTTCCCTGGTTTGAAATTTTTAAAAGTGATATGCACACTAAAAAGACTAACTTATACAGAAATACTGCATCAGTGGATTTACCTCAGCTTTTTTCAACTGAAGTATTTTCTATTCTTTAGAAAAACCTATATAAATTTGTTGCCACTTATATTAATTTCTTAATTCTTGAAAACAACTTCTTTTAAGTTTTACCTCAAGTATCTTTTAATTCTAGTGTTCCTTGAGTAGGGTGAGCAAATCTGCCTTCTGTCCATATTACTCATGATTTTGAAGATCAAGCTCATTTTTAATACAACTGCACAGATACTTGAATCTCTGTACTGTACAGGGCATTATGACAGGCAAAAATGTATGGAATGTTGAGAATTGAGAGAAGACAGGACATCTTGAGATTTAGTTTTCCTAATAAAAGTTTTATTTGAGAAAAATTAGAGGAAGTGGAAGAGAATATCTTTGAGTACTTATTTCCCAGGCACCTTGTTAGGTGTTTTATTTACATTCTCATTTAAAGCTTGATTGGAAATACAGTTATCTGAGTTTAAGAAAATGCATGCTATAATTTCTTTGTTGTCGAGAACACTGTGAATAAAACATTCTATTAAATAGTGCATTTGCCGAAGAAGTACATGGTAATGGCACAGTGAGCAAACTGATGTAATGTGTTTACTCAGAATTATGCCTTTCAATGTAAATTACAGAAACTATTAGAGTCACTTGAATCATCTATACATTCAAGCATGAAGATTTGCAGAAATACAATTAGTGGTCACAACACTTTCAGATGCGTTTCAGAACCTGAATTGACTTTTGAATTTTCACAGGTATAATACATTAAAAGTAATGAAATGTTCAAAATCAAGTATGTGATAACCATATTATTTTGTATAGGGAATTGAACTTAAAAGGATAAATTTGTCACCAGAACATGTGTGGGGTGCAGAGAGAGCAAGCGAAGATGTTGGTCAAAGTGTGCAGTTTCAGTTAGAAGGGATGAGTTCTAGTGATCACAGCGTGGCCAATAGGGGCAATAATAATAATGTGTATTTCAAAATAGCTAAGAGAGGATTTAAAATATTTTTATAGCAAAAAATGACAAATATTTGAGATGATGAATATGTTACTTTGCATGAGTTGATCATTCAGCATTGTATACATAAATTGAGATATCATATTGTACTCTATAAATATATACAACTATTATTTGTCAATAAAAATAACAATGAAAAAAGAAAAGTTTGTAAGTTATTGACACTCTTAAATAATTCTTCACTTTACATCATTGTTCATTTCTGTGTCTCTTTATATACTTTCTCATAGTTGTTTGATGGGATTTATATGTAACTTTTTGAATTTTCTTATTGAGTGACCTACCTTGTCTAGGACTACAGAGAATATAATGAAATATGACTATGATGATTTTATTGTGACTGACTACATGTAACTCAAAGATGTAACAATGAACTCTGAATATTTCTAGGATTTTGAGTCTTTATGGCTAATTCTGAATGACATTAGCAATGGCAAGGGCAAGGTTGATTATGGAGAATTCAAACGTGCCACAATTGGTGAAATGAATGAATACAGGAAATCATTCGTTCGAAAGGTAATTCTTAAGTAATCTTTTAAATTATTATTTTCACTAGATTGGTAAGTTCATTATTTAAAAACTTTAATGACTTATTTAAAATCTGTAATATCACTTTACCTGTAATTCACATTGGGCTTAGTAAAACACAAGCACATATACATTTAAATCTACCTAGAATTAGGCAAAATAACATATGCATAAGATTTAGAAAAATGTAAGAGGAAAAGTAAAATTTTGTCCAAAATTACTAGCTCTATAAATTGTTACTTCTATAAATTACTAAAATGCATTACTCTGTGTGTTATGAAATTTTCCCAAGCCCCAGTTTTCTATCTCATAGAGTTAAAAGAAAGGTTGAATAAGATAATACATGTAAAATTCTTACCATTGTGACTGCCCAGTGTCCTTGCTCAGTATGTGTTATTTTAAGATGATGATTTAAAATGTTTTTGTGGTTTTTTTTTTAGAATGTGCATGCTGAATGTCAAAATGAAGATTATAAGATCATACTAAATTGGAATTTAAACAGGGACCCTGATTTTTATAGGAAACTACATATTACTTCAGTTCTGGTGGTCATTTTTAGAGTATAATTTTGAGCAATGTAATGTTTTTCTTTTGTATATGTTATATACATATTGTACATATACGTACAATATAATATGTACATGTTCATCTAATATTGAAAGCAGCTATTCTATATAGAGTGGTATAAAACAGTTTATATCAGGCATAAATATCAAATGGAAAAATTAAAATCTCTATCTTTCCTGACCAAGAGACATAATAAAATACCTTAAATAATTTCACCACATAGTATTTATAAATTTGCACTTATTTGTATTTTACATGTCATAGTAAGGTTTGAGTATGAGGAGTAATAATTGGATAGCTGTCTTGTTCATATATCTTGGCTCTGAGAATAAAGGACAAAAAAAAAGGAATTATAAAGTACTTTATTAGCTTGCTAAGGGCTACCTTAACAAAATAGCACAGACTGGCCTATGAAACAATAACTACTTTTTCCAGAAGTCCACAAAGGGCCAGCAGGTTTAGTTTCCTTTGCAGGCCCTCTTCTTGGCCTGCAGGTGGGTTGTGTTTTCACTGTGTCCTTACATGGTTGTCCTCTGTCTGTGTTGTTCATCCCCTATTCCCTTTTTATGAGAACACTGGTTATACTGCACTGGACCTAGATTGTAACTGAATTACCACCTTAAATACCTGTCTCCAAATGCAGTCATATTCTGAGACATGAGGTATTGTGGTTCAACATATGAATTAGGGGCGGGGGTCACAACTCGATCTACAACAGGTTCCTGCAAACTCAATATTGTGAATAAACCAACTTGGTTCTGGTTTTGACTATTCCTGCAAATGAGAGATGTTGCTTTGGCTTGCTTGGTGTTTCTATGTACCAACCCTTTTCCAATTGAAATGTTTTATGATACTCAGAGTTGTATTGAATTAGAAGAGCAATAAAACAAGTAGCCTTTCAAAAGGAATAAGCACGTCACTTTTTCATTGATTTTAGTGATGGAGTATTTGTAAGTTCACTTTTTGAATTGAAGTGGTCTTCTTAGCAATTTGTTGTGGTCATTTATCAGTTTCATGTGAATTTGGGAGCTAGAAGTCACCCAAGAGGTCTTTTACTCAGCTCTTCAATTCACAGAGGAAGAAAGCCAGGGCAACAGAGGTTTGATGACTTTCTCAAGATCAGGATGCTAGAAGGCAGAACTGAAGGCTTGAGTGCAGGTTTCCTGATATCTTACTTTGGTATCTTTTCCCCTATATTAAAGATGCTTCTTTCACATACCAGTTTACTTCTTTCAAACTGTCTTGTTTCTAGCTCAGAAATAAGCTACTGTAAAATAGAAAGTTAGGTTCTCATATCTAATGGTTTCATCAAAAAACAAAACAAAACAGAACCCCAAAACATTTCTCTCTTTATTTAGGCCTTTATGAAACTGGATTTCAACAAAACTGGCATTGTGCCTATGATAGACGTAAGAAAATGTTATTGTGCGAAGAAGCATCCTCAAGTAATTTCAGGTAATTATTATGAGTTAAAATGCATTTCACTTCTAAGTAACGTCTAATTTAAAGCATTGCTGGAAGCTTTGAAAGGAGGAAACACACAATTCTTGTTTAACCAGAAACTTGGGTTTCTTATCATCTGTTTTTTTTTTTTCTTTTTTGGTGGATCCAGGCTCTGAACTCAGGGCTTTGCACTTGCAAAACAGGTGCTCTACACTTAAGCCATAACTCCTGTCCATTTTGCTCTGTGTATTTTGGAGATGGGGTCTCTTGAACTATTTGCCTGGGTGGTCTTGAACTGAAATCCTCCCGATCTTAGCTTTCAAGTGGCTAGGATTATAGATGTGAGCCACTGTGCTCAGTTCATCATTAACTTTCGTATGTATTTATTTACTTATTTTACTTTTAATTGGGAAGTGAAAAAAAACCAATAGAACTGGGGTTTGAAGATTAAAGCTGATCATCCTTGGCTTCCAAATTTCTAATTCTAATTGTCTAATCTATGTTAGGTCAAAATAATTTCATCTGCTTATCAATGACTTTAAATGAACTACAGTGACTGTAACAGAATTTTTAGTGTTAGTTAATAGATATTAGTGTATTTTCACCCTGTAAACACTCTTTAATTAATCATAGTAATATTAGAACAAAATAGTTTACTCATTTCAAAATTAAGTGGTTTCAACCTCGTTTACCTTTCCTTTTGTCTCCTCTGGTCTAATAGTCTTACCTAAGTAGCCTTAGCTCTATTTGTGCCACAGAATTGTGGACCAAAGGGGTTTTGCTTTTATTGTTGAGTAACCATCTGTCACTTTCGGAAATCCAAAAAGAAAACTGTTGTTATCTACCATTACAAATTATAATCTATTTGGATATAGATTTTATCTCATGTTTGGGATAAAAGTTGCTTACCAGTTATAATTAATTTCAAGAAAAGGCTTTAAAATCACATACAATTTAATTATAACTATAGAAAATAGTCTCTTTCTACTTTACTTAAGTGATTTATTAGAAAAATGTATTTTAAGGTTTAATAGAAATGGTATATCCCAAACATGTTTCTGTGTAATGGTGTTACAATCTGACATTTGTTGTAAATACTTTCTGGTTTCTAAGAGTAGCAAAGGAAAATTCTGTTACAGATGCTTAAAGGTAGGCATTTCCTAGGTGACCAGTGGGTTTTTGTTTGTTGTTTGTTTTTTTGGTAGTTGGGTTTGGTAGTTGGGTAGTTGGGTAGTTTGGTAGTTGGGTTTTGGTAGTTGGGTTAGCACTGATCCCCAGCCCCAGCCCTTTTTGCTTTAATTTATTTTTCAGATAGGGTTTTCTGCTTTTTGTCTGGGGTGTGCCTCGGACCCCAATCCTCTTACCTCTGCTTCCCAGTCAGCTAGGATTATAGTCATACACAACCATGCCCAGCTTGTTTTCTGAGAGGGTCTCACTGACTTTTTTGCTTGGGATGGCCTTAAACCATAATCATCCCATCTCTGCCTCCATGTAGCTGGGATTATAGGCAGAGACATCACTTGGTTCTAGGTGAGAAGTTTTAAGAAGATATAAAATTCTTAGCTATTTGAAATATAAATTTAAGTAAGAAATGTTTTCTTAGAAAAATCACAATAAAGTTTATCTGTTGAAAAGTATGGATGGTGGCTCATGCCTATAATCCTAGCTACTCAGGAAGTGGAGATTGGGAGAATCATGGTTTGAGGCCAGTCAGGGCCCAAAGTTCATGAGACCCCATCTCAACCAATAAAAGCCGGGTATGGTGGCACACTCCTGTCACCCTAGCTATGTGAGAAGCATAAACAGGAGGATGGTGGACCAGGCTAGCCCAGGCACAAACATGAGACCCTATGTGATAACTAGCTAAAGCAAAAAGTGATTGGGGGGGCATGGTGTAAGTGGTAGAGAACAAGTGCAAGACCCTGAGTCTAAATCCTTGTACTTCCAAAATAAATAAATAAATAAATAAATAAATAATATGGACGGAAAATAGAGAGGAAAATTTCTCCTGCCAAAACTTGTATTTTTACGTAGATGAGATGTTGATTAATTTTTAGCCATGGCATAATGCCCAGTCATTTTTCACTTAACCTATTTCGTAACAGTCACTATCTTCTCTGTTTTTAAGAGACAGCCACCTTTTTGATATTCCAAACAGATTCCATTCCTTACTTTGAAATGTACTTTACATACTTTATTGCTAAGCCTCCTAGAGGCCATTGGGTTTGTGAAAAAGCTCTAGCTCTTACCCCAATTTTCTCCACCTTGTTAGAGAAGTCATTGTTTGCATTCAGGTCTGTTATTTAAATTGCAGCCTCACTTTAAAATGTTTTAAACTCACAATGATTTTTTTTTTACCCCTTTTTGTGTTTTTAATGTGCCTTTATTTATTATCTTTTGAATATTTGGCCACCTTCTATAGTTTCTTTTCAGTTTTGAATCCCTCTTTTCTTATCAAAAGATTATGAATATTTTCCTTCAGTGTTCTAGCTAAGGCCCTGGGAATAGGTCAATGTAAGAGGAAGCAAGGGGTGGGGATGAGAGGCAAATTATGAGATGAATTAATTCTAATTCATGTGTAAATAAATTGGAGGGTAGTTTGACATAATGTTTTAAATCATTGAAAGGATTTCCTAACATGAATAAGCATTCCTTTATCATCATCAGTCATTTTACTGAACTTTTATAGAAACGATTTTATAGTCAGTACTATTTTTACAGGTCATTCCACGGAGGAAGAAATCAAATCATCTTTTCTAGAAACATTAAAAGGTGCCTGCAGCAAATCTGATGAAGTGTCATATGGTGAATTTGAAGATTACTATGAAGGCCTAAGTATAGGAGTAGTAGGAGATGAAGATTTTGTTAACATCTTACGTACTCCGTGGGGAGTTTAGTTGTTAATACTGTGTACATCAACACTGAGCATTTTATAGAAGAGAGAAGTTTATGAGAAGTATGGTCAAACCCTGGAATATGCTTTTTTAGGATTATTTTTCTTCTCAAAAAAAATTGAGTCTGGGAAGAGAAATATTCAGAAAGGTGGATGTAGGCATATGTGTGGGCTGTGTGCATGTATGCATGCTTACATGTCTATAAGTTTAAAAGATATGCCTTTTGATTTACCTTGAATATATTTTAGAAGTCATTTTTATTAGCCTCAATAGGAAAGTTACACCTGCATCAAACTGTATGAGAGTGTCTATATAGTAACCAAGTGTCCTGTCCTTTCAGAGTTTTATAACTCTAAGAATGTAATTGCCACCACTCTCAAGCTGATGCTTTGAAATTGGGTTCAAAGTCTATGAGACTAAAATTGTTCAACTTGCTTTAAACATATGAAAAAAGTAAAGAAATTATAGCAAACACAAGAGAAATTTTCCAAGAAGTGTGATTATAGATATTTTCTGTAGCATTAATATTTAGAATGGTTGAAGTTTACCCTTACAAAGGTTATTTAAACAAACTTGTGTCCTGAGTTATGTATTGCTGTTTGTTCACAAATATAATTATAGTTTTATTCTGTTTTTATCTACAACATTTATTACCTGAATAGAAATATTATTTAGATAGAAACAATAAATACAAGAGGGGAAATAGTCTCTCAGATTATTAAAAAAAGTGCATTATTGTATATGCATATGTATATCTAAGGGATAATTTAGTAATCCTTTATCCAAATGTAAAAGCATATTTTGTGTCACAACATGAATGTATGGTATTATAAACATTTCTTTTTGGTATATTAAACAATCAAAGCATTTTCTTCTGAATATATATTATTTAGTGGTTGAATGTACTGTAATCACTTCTTCTAAATTCTGTTCTTCACTTCTTCCCAGACAGAGAAAGAACTTTATAGAATTGTTTCTAAGTTCATAATTTTGATTTACATGTCAAAATAACATAAATTTGAAAAAATTATACGGAGCAAAATAAGTGGTTCAAAAATAGCAATGTATACTCTGCAGACCACAACAAGGTGTATCTCTTCATGCTTCTGTACTTGGCAGCATTATTAAGAGAGTGACACATGTGACCTCAGCGTATGAATCTCTCTAGGGCTTAAGGAAGTACTGAAACTCACTACTGGAATATCAGAAAGAAAACATGTGCAAACCTTTCACCACTATTTTCTTTGGCTAAATTCTTTATTTCTTGACATTTTTTACTTTATTGAAATTAAACCAAGTGTTAGAAGACATTTTGGGAGAAATAAATCTCTAACACTATTTAAAAAAAACTTCCAACCACAGACATCTTAAACCCTATGAATCGTTCTTATATTAAAATAACTAATTTTAAGGCTGTTCAGTATGTATATAGTAGTTTTCACTGATAAAATTTTATTTATTTATTTTTATTGTTTTATTATTCATATGTGCATACAAGGCTTGAGTCATTTCTCCCCCCTGCCCCCAACCCCTCCCTTACCAACCACTCCGCCCACTCCCTCTCCCCCCTATCCCCTCAATACCCGGCAGAAACTATTTTGCCCTTATCTCTAATTTTGTTGAAGAGAGAGTATAAGCAATAATAGGAAGGAACAAGGGTTTTTGCTGGTTAAGATAAGGATAGCTATACAGGGAGTTGACTCACATTAATTTCCTGTGTGTGTGTTACCTTCTAGGTTAATTCTTTTTGATCTCACCTTTTCTTTAGTTCCTGGTCCCCTTTTCCTATTGGCCTCAGTTGCTTTTAAGGTATCTGCTTTAGTTTCTCTGCGTTAAGGGCAACAAATGCTAACTAATTTTTTAGGTGTCTTACCTATCCTCACCCCTCCCTTGTGTGCTCTCGCTTTTATCATGTGCTCAAAGTCCAATCCCCTTGTTGTGTTTGCCCTTGATCTAATGTCCACATATGAGGGAGAACATATGATTTTTGGTCTTTTGGGTCAGGCTAACCTCACTCAGAATGATGTTCTCCAATTCCATCCATTTACCAGCAAATGATAACATTTCGTTCTTCTTCATGGCTGCATAAAATTCCATTGTGTATAGATACCACATTTTCTTAATCCATTCGTCAGTGGTGGAGCATCTTGGCTGTTTCCATGACTTGGCTATTGTGAATAGTGCTGCAATAAACATGGGTGTGCAGGTGCCTCTAGAGTAACCTGTGTCACAGTCTTTTGGGTATATCCCCAAGACTGGTATTGCTGGATCAAATGGTAGATCAATGTTTAGCTTTTTAAGTAGCCTCCAAAATTTTTTTTCCAGAGTGGTTCTACTGTTTACATTCCCACCAACAGTGTAAGAGGGTTTCCTTTTTCCCTGCATCCTCACCAACACCTGTTGTGGTGGTGTTGCTAATGATGGCTATTCTAACGGTGAGGTGGAATCTTAGTGTGGTTTTAATTTGCATTTCCTTATTGCTAGAGATGGTGAGCATTTTTCATGTTGTTTTTGGCCATTTGAATTTCTTTTTTTGAGAAAGTTCTGTTTAGTTCACTTGCCCATTTCTTTATTGGTTCATTAGTTTTGGGAGAATTAGTTTTTTAAGTTCCTATATATTCTGGTTATCAGTCCTTTGTTTGATTGTAGCTGGCAAATATTTTTTCCCACTCTGTTGGGTGGTTCTCTTCAGTTTAGAGACATTTCTTTGTTGAGAACAGAAGCTTTTTTAGTTTATAAGTCCCATTATCTATGCTATCTCTTAGTTGCTGTGCTGCTGGGTTTTTGAAAAGTTCTTACCTATACTACTAACTCCAGAGTATTTCCTACTCTTTCCTGTATCAACTTTAAGTTTTTGGTCTGATATTAAGATCCTTGATCCATTTTGAGTTAACTTGGTATAGGGTGAATACATGGATCTAGTTTCAGTTTTTTGCAGACTGCTAACCAGTTTTCCCAGCAGTTTTTTTTGAAGAGGCTGCTATTTCTCCATCATATATTTTTAGTCCTTTGTCAAGACAAGTTGGTTATAGTTGTGTGGCTTCATATCTGGGTCCTCTATTTCTGTTCCACTGGTCTTCATGTCTGTTTTTGTGCCAGTACCTGTGCTGTTTTTATTGTTATTGCTTTGTTATAGTTTGAAGTCAGGTATCGTGATACCTCCTGCATTGTTCTTTTGACTGAGTATTGCCTTGGCTATTCGTGGCCTCTTGTGTTTCCATATAAATTTCACAGTAATTTTCAATCTCTTTAATGAATGTCATTGGAATTTGATGGGAATGCATTAAACATGTAGATTACTTTGGGAGTATTGACATTTTTACTATGTTTGATTCTACAATCCATGAGCATGGGAGATCTCTCCACTTTCTATAGTCTTCCTCAATCTCTTCTTCAGAAGTGTTATAGTTTTCCTTGTAGAGGTCATTCACATCTTTGTTAGGTTTACACCTAGGTATTTGATTTTTTTTGAGGCTATTGTAAATTGGAATTGTTTTCATACATTCTTTTCAGTTTGTTCATTATTAGTGGTATAGAAATGCTAATGATTTTTCTATGTTGATTTATATCCTGCTACCTTGCTTAAGCTATTGATGATGTCTAGAAGCTTCTGAGTAGAGTTTTTTGGGTCTTTAGGTATAGGATCATGGTCATTGCAAATAGGGATATTTTGACAGTCTTTACTATTTGTAATTCCTTTATTCCTTCTTCTTGCCTAATTGCTCTGGCTAGGAATTCCAGTACTATGTTGAATAGGAGTGGAGAATAGTGGCATCCTGTCTGGGTTTCCTGATTTTAGAGGGAATGGTTTCAGTTTTTCTTTAAGTATAATGCTAGCCCTGTAGGTTTGTCATATAATAGCTTTTATAATGGGAGTTATTTCTCCTTCCAATTTTGAGGATGGTTTGCTGATGACCTAGTATAGGTTGACAGCTGTTTTTCCTTCAGGAACCATGAAAGTGCATCATTCCATCATCTCCTTGCATTTAGAGTTTGTTAAGAATCTGCTGTTTTCCTTGTAGAGGTCTTTCACATCTTTTGTTAGGTTTACACCTAGGTATTTGATTTTTTTTTGAGGCTATTGTAAATGGAATTGTTTTCATACATTCTTTTTCAGTTTGTTCATTATTAGTGTATAGAAATGCTAATGATTTTTCTATGTTGACTTTATATCCTGCTGCCTTGCTATAGCTATTGATGATGTCTAGAAGCTTCTGAGTAGAGTTTTTTGGGTCTTTAAGGTATAGGATCATGTCATCTGCAAATAGGGATATTTTGACAGTTTCTTTACCTATTTGTATTCCTTTTATTCCTTCTTCTTGCCTAATTGCTCTGGCTAGGAATTCCAGTACTATGTTGAATAGGAGTGGAGATAGTGGGCATCCTTGTCTGGTTCCTGATTTTAGAGGGAATGGTTTCAGTTTTTCTCTGTTAAGTATAATGCTAGCTGTAGGTTTGTCATATATAGCTTTTATAATGGGAAGTTATTTCTCCTTCAATTTTGAAGGATGGTTTGCTGGATAGACTAGTATAGGTTGACAGCTGTTTTCCTTCAGGACATGAAATGCATCATTCCATCATCTCCTTGCATTTAGAGTTTGTTAAGAAATCTGCTGTTATTATGATGAGTTTGCCTTTACACATGACCTGTCACTTTTTTTGTGCAGCTTTCAAAATTCTTTCTTTGTTCAATATATTTAGTATTTTAATTATAATATGCTTGGACATATTTCTTTTCTGATCCCATCTGTTTGGTGTCCTGAAAGCCTCCTGTGCCTGGATGTACCACCCTTTCTTGAGACTGGCGACGTTTTCTGCTATTATCCTGTTGGATAAGTTATCTTTATCTTTAATTTGTATCTCTTCTTCTTCTATACCCATGATTCATAAGTTTGGTCGTTTGATGGTGTCTCAAAAGTCTCATATCCATTCACATTTTCTTAGTATTTTTTCATTGTCTTTGACTGCTTGAAAATATAGGTAACAAAAGAGGATTATGAGTGGGTAAACAGGAGACAGCTTTCCCCCCCAGCACTACTTAGTGATTATTCTGGTAATCTGGTGCAGTCCTTTGTCAGGTGTCTGCTCCAGTGGTTCACCTCTGCAG